ATACATAGTCGCACATAAAAGAACAACAGATAGTAAATTTTGAAAAAATGAAATAATTATAAAAATAACAAAAATTGAAGAGACAAGCCCTCAATTATAAAAATAATAATAATAGAATCCAGCATTAAGTTTTACATCCCAAAAAAATAACATATGCCAGCATTAAGAATTAATATCAATATTCATGCTGTTTAATAAAATCAATAAATTCAATAAATTTATTGACAAATTATATGACTATTTACACAAATTGCTTTATAATTGATTTTTAGCAACGCTTAGTGTTGTCTTTGGGATTTTTTGTAAAAGCATACAAGATTTATTATTTATAATTCTCCACAAATTTGGCATAAATTACAAAATATACTCCTTTTAACTATAATCTTACTTATTTGGTTTTAAAAATATAATAAACATTCATAGGGGAAAAAAACTTTAAATTACTCATTCAAGGTTAGGAGGAGGATATGACTGGCATGTTATATGGGTTTGCAAATGCATACCATCTTTTCAATAAATCCTTATTAAGAAGTTTTAGTACTTATTAGTGCATAATTTTCTACATGTTTCATTTATTCTTATAGTTATTAACTCTATCCCCAATCTTTTTGTGTACATCGTATATTTGTACTTTAGATGATTCTATGTTTTGCTCGAACAAGATGAGGCTTTTTTATATATATGTTTGATGATTTATATCTATGTTACTTTTCATATTATGTTCTGGTTGGGTTGAGACTTATTAACGCTGGCAATCTAGTCTCAGTGATAGTCACGTTCTTAGGTTGAGATATGATAGGAAGGCATTAATTTGGTCACTATTAGGACTTTTGAGACTTTTCTTTAATTAAAAGCGGAGTCAACTTTCACCAATTTGTTCAAATAGAGAAAAGGTACAAAGACTTAAATACAACACGCATATCTAACTTCCAACCCACGTTAGAATAGGTCAAAGTTTTTTTGGTCAAACTTTTGAGACTTATTGTTACTGGCCCCTTTCTGTTCAACCTTACTCTATAAAGCAAGTTGGACTGCCTGCCCTTTTCTATTCAACCTTACACTATTCCTCAATAAACAGAAAAATTCGTGGGAAAAAACTCTTAATTATGCATTTGAGGTTAGGAGGAGGATATGACTGGCATGTTATACGGGTTTGCAAATACACACCATTATTTATTTATAATTTTTCTGAATTAGTCAGTTGTATTACTAGTATTACAACTAGCTACTAAAAACTACTTGTATGACATGGGTAAAATTTACTTATGTTTATCAAGAGATCTTAGACAACTGCATTTGCTTTCATTCTGCTTGAATTTTCCACTTTATTTCCTTTCAATAATTTCTTAAGAAATCTGAGCACTTAGTATTGCATAATTTTCAACATCTTTCGCTTTGTCTTGAAATTATTGAGTCTGTCCCGATCTTCATTTATTAAGTACAATATGCATAACTTAAAATTTTCTAAGAACTAATATATCATAAGTAATCAAGTATGTTCAACGTAAACAATAAAAAGTACAAACAAGACCAAAATCATCTATGAAGATCATGCTAAGTCTTCCACATGTGTGTTTTCCCACTGGACAAGTTAGAATTTTTGACAATCCCACATTGGCTGAGAATCTTAGCAATTTATTTGTCTCCGTCAAATTGACTCAGCACAACAAGTCATTATAGTACAAAAATAATAACAACATATCAACGACTTAAATATTCGCCTTCCATGTGGTTTCTCCCCATTGTTCCCCGTCATCCACGAACTTTTGTTGAAAGTTTATGCTTTTATAGTTACTTGATTTGACTTCTGAAGCTATTTCATAAAATATTTTTTTTACAAAATATATTAAAAAAAGTAATATATTTTTACTAACGGTTGATCCGAAAGGATTTTTTTGAGAGATTTAGGTTTAATTAGGAATTTTATTTAGATTATATTTTTATTTTATTTGTTTATTTAGATTAGTTTTAGATTTATTTAGGATATAAACTTCAAATTTCTAAAATTATTTTAAGAGGGTAACCTTGTTTTTTGAGGAGCCTTTAGCCTCCTCCATCATTTAGGATTACTCTTTATAAAAAGAAGACTATTTTCCATTCAAAATGGAGGAAAAAAATATCTTCAAAAAAATTCAAAGTTCAACTGGAGCTTTTTGCTGATAAATTAACAAACATTTCAACAATTTCAACTGCACTTAAGAAAAGAATTAACAAAGTTCAACTGACATAAATATAAGGATTTGCGATATCCAAACTCCAAAAGTTAGACGGTTTGAGTAAGAATTAGAGACTTGTAATTATATTATTGTTAGGGTTTGGATGAAGTTTTTTGAAACCATTATGCGAACTCTCTTGATTTTTTATTGCTTAATTTCAATTAAAGATTGCATGTGGAAGTTTAAAGCTGTCTTCACCTCCGCCTTCATCCTTACAACAAGATAAGAACTCAGAGTTGACTCGTATAATCGATTGGATTGTTAGAATTTTGGGATATGAAAGTCCAGTAATTGTTGGATTGGTCCTTGGGCAAGCTCTAATCACGAGGAATCACAATTGGTTTGTGAAGAATTTTGGAAGGGGACAACAAACAACAAAAAGGGTATTGTAAAGAGCAAAGAAGCTCAACTTTCATAGTTTTCAAGATAGCATAAACTTCCTTAGAAGTGATATTTGGCAGAAGAGTAAGCAAAGAGTCTTGTCAACAGCAGGTGTTTCTTGAAGTATATATGGAGCAAGGTAGCTGTAGGTTGAGATGCTTTGATATTTTTTCTTTTTGTCTTTCTCTTTGTGGCATATGTGCGTTTGTGTATGCTTTCACGCCCTCCTCCTGAGATGAATTTGTTATAAACACATTATTTTAATATACTATGAGGTTTCCATGTAAGAAAAAAAAAAATTGCAATGTGTGATGTCATTGTCTTGTGCCTTTTCCAAACAGATGAATTAAGATTTAAGCAAGAGATTCCTGTTGTGCCGCTTGTGCTACGTCCTGCAAATATTGTTTATGGCTCCATTCTACTTTCCCTTCAAAAGCACAACACTTCTCTACATAGTTGCGCATAAAAGAACGAATGATAGTAAATTTTCAAAAAGTGAAATAATTATAATAATAATTATGACAATAATAAAAATTGAAGAGAGAAGCCCTCAATTATACTACTACTACTACTACTACTACTACTACTAATAATTAATAATAATAATAATAATAGAACCCAACATTAAGTTTTACATCTCAAAAAAATAAAATGTGCCAGCATTAAGAATTAATACCAATATTCATACTGTCTAATAAAGTCAATAAAATTCAGTAAATTCATTGACAAATTATATGACTATTTACACAAATTGGTTTATAATTGATTTTTAGCAATGCTTAGTATTGTCTTTGGGATTTTTTGTAAAAGCATACAATATTTATTATTTATAATTCTCCGTATATTTGGCATAAATTACAAAATATACTCCTAACTGTAATCTTACTTATTTGGTTTTAAAAATATAATAAACATTCCTAGGGAAAAAATTTTAAATTACTCATTCGAGGTTAGGAGGAGGATATGATTGGCATGCTATATGGGTTTGCAAATGCATAACGTTCTTTGTTTTCTCTAAATTAATCAGTTGTATTGCAAGTCCTAGAATTTACTTATGTTTATCAAAGGAACTTAGATAACTGCATTTCTTTTTATTCTACTCAATTTCTAGGCTTTCATTCTTTTCAATAAATTCTTAAGAAATATTTTTGTAATAATTTCTTATTAAAAATTTGAGTACTTATTAGTGCATAATTTTCTACATGTTTTACTTATAGTTATTAAGTCTATCTTTAATATTTATTTATTAATATATTAAGTCTATCCCCAGTCTTTATTTGTTAATTACAGTACGCGAAACTTACGTATGGATTGGGCTAACCGCATTTCTTGGCGGGGGCACTTTGTCGCCTGCCGTGTTTTGGCAGGCAGTAATAGGCCAGGGATTCACACCCACCCCCAGTAATTAATTAGGGCAACCTGGTGTTGGGGGTACGGTGGAATTTTCAAAGGGTAATATAAAAAATAAAAGTAAATTATAACAAGTCAGTCAAAAAATGAAAATATTTGTATTAACTAAGGACTTAAATGCTAAATAATAAAATTTATTTATTCACACTTCAAATTCCTGACAGTATCCAAAATAACTGCACGTTTAATAAAATATTTTTTGATTTTATAATCTAATGTAAAAACACTAATATTTATATGCTAAAATAGTGTAAAACATGCTTACCTAATTATAAAGTTAAAAATTAAACACTTCATGTGCTATATCTCATGTGCGTGCTTTTGCATGTTTACAAAGTATTATTCCACACAAGTACGTGTTCATGCTTCCTCCCATTTCTTTTTATTCCACTTGAATTCTAGACTTTCCTTCTTTTCAATAAATTCTTAAGAAATATTTTTTTCAATAAATTCTTATTAAAAAATTTGAGTACTTATTAGTGCATAATTTTCTACATGTTTCACTTATAGTTATTAAGTCTATCCTCAGTATTTATTTATTAATATATTAAGTCTATCCTTAGTTTGTATTTATTAATTACAGTAGGCAAAACTTACAATTTTCTAAGTACATACAGACTGGTCGTTGATCTAAGGCTTGCCGTCTTTTTTGAGCCTCATAATTATTTCAGTATAGTAATTACAACAACAAATCAGTGGCTTAAGTATTCAAGTCTTCCCGGTAGTCTTTCCCAGTTGTCCCCACCACCCATTAATTTTTATTAAAAGTCTATGCTCCATAAGCATTTTTTTTTAAATTTACTTGACTTGACATCTTTAGTTACTCTCTATAAAGGCATATCACTCCGGTGCAAGCTCACTCATCCAAAATTACTCAAGGCAATATGTGGTCAAATATGTTTGGTTACATGTCCATGCACTCGCTTTTTCTTGTGTTATGTTTGTCTCACATTTTGGTGACTAACCCAGTCCTGTCTGTGCAGCCATTATGCCATGAAGACGAGAGGTCAGCCTTGTTACAATTCAAGCTTAGTTTTTCAATTGAAAAGTTTGCATCTGACGACCCTTCTGCTTATCCAAAAATGGAATCATGGAAGATGGAAGGGGAGAGCTGGCAATTGCTGCTCGTGGCATGGCATCAAATGTGATGAGATCACAGGTCATGTGATCGGGCTGGACATCAGTAGCAGCTTTATCTATGGTTCCATCAACTCCAACAGTAGCCTCTTCAGACTCGTTCATCTGCAGCGACTCAACCTTGCTGGCAACAATTTCAATTACTCTGAAGTTCCTTCTGCAATTGGGAGTCTTTCTTGGCTAACCCATCTTGACCTCTCCCACTCTAAATTTTTGGGGAATTCCCAAGAGGCATTTTCCTACTACCAAATTTACAATTTCTAAGGGCTAGCCAAAATCCAAGTCTTTCTGGTTATTTGGCAGAATTTCACTACCAAAGTCCCCTCAAGGTCTTGGACCTTAGCATTTGTAATTTCTCTGGCGCACTACCTAACTCACTGGGTAATTTAACCAACTCATATATTTGGACCTTTCACGCAATAATATTTCTGGGCATATACCTCCGTCATTCGCAAACATGTCACAGTTAACTTATTTATCACTTCTTTATAGTAATTTTGTCGCAAGTCCAATACCCTCAGTGGTTGCTCAGCTAGCTAAACTTTCTTATTTGGATCTTGCTCATTGCAATTTACAGGGTGAGATTCCAATATTTCTTTCAAATCTGACTTCACTTTCTCATTTGAACTTCCATAGCAACCAGTTAGTTAATAAAAATCCCACCTTGGCTTTTGAATCTCACCAAATTAAGTTTTCTAGATATTTCGGGCAACCAACTGCATGGCCCAATTCCTAACTCATTCTATAGACTCAGGCATCTTGAATACCTCGATTTTAGCGGAAATAACTTTAGTGGTATAGTAGAGCTGAGTGTTTTTCTTAAGCTCCAAAATTTGACTTGGTTTGGCTTATCAATTAACACACTTACTGTGCTCTCAGAGAATATTGCTAATAATGTTACTTTGCCGAAGATTAAATTTCTTTTTTACAAGGGTGCAATTTGAAGAAATTCCCTGAGTTTTTGGAGTTCCAAGATCAGTTGGCAATTCTAGAGTTTTCTGACAACCAAATTCAGGGCCTAATACCAACTTGGGTTTGGAATTCAAGCAAAGAAACTATGACAACATTCTGGGCTCATGACAACCTTCTTACAGGGTTTGAAAAACATCCCATTGTCATTCCATGGCAAAATCTAGTCGATCTGGATCTCAGTTTCAACAAGCTACAAGGATTACTTCCCATTCCTCCAAAATCCACCCATTTCTACTCTGTCAAAGGAAATATATTGACTGGGGAGATTGCACCATCGATTTGCAGTAATAATTTTCTTCAGTTCTTGATTTGTCTAATAATAGGTTGAGTGGCAGAATTCCCCCATGTTTGGCAACTATTGCTGGTTCCTTGCAGGTATTGAATCTAAGCGCCAATAGTTTCCACGGGATAATCCCTGAGATGTTCAGCATGTGTACTGATTTGGAGATAATTGATCTAAGCCAAAATCAACTATATGGAAAGTACCGAGATCAATGGTAAATTGCACAAAACTTGAGGTTCTAAATCTTGGAAATAATTATATAGTTGACAATTTCCCTGTCTGGCTTGGAACTCTCCCAGAGTTGAAGGTTCTTATTTTGCGAAATAACAAGTTCTACGGAGGCATTGAGAATCTTCCCATTAATGCAGGGTTCTCAAAATTGCGAATCATTGACCTTTCCAGCAATAATTTCTCAGGTTACTTGCCAGTGAATTACTTTCGAAAATGGGAGGCAATGAAAGTAGTCCATAAGGATGAGTCAGAATATATGAATGTGGACGCAATAATTAATAATTCTCAGATAGCATTTCTCAAAATCAAATATCATTGGCCTTATATTTGGATTGAATCTTACCCAGATTCAATAACAATTGTAAACAAAGGCACGCAAAGGAATTTTGGGAGGATCAAAACAACATTTGTATCGATTGACTTGTCCAACAATGGATTCAAAGGGCAGATACCAGAATTCCTCGGAAATCTCAAGGGGCTTCGATCACTTAACTTATCCAACAATGAACTTGAAGGTCCCATCCCATCATCTTTGGGTAACTTAGTGGAGCTAGAATCATTAGACCTGTCTCAAAACTTGCTTTCAGGGAAGATTCCTCGACAACTTACTCATAACACATTTCTAGCTATTTTCAATGTTTCTTATAACAATCTTACAGGGCTTATACCTCAAGGTGCACAATTTGATACTTTTGAGAACAGTTCTTATGAGGGTAATCGGGATTGTGTGGAAAACCCTTGTCAAAGCCATGTGGAAGTTTAGGGCCATCTTCACCTCCATCTTCATCGTTGCAACTAGATAGAAACTCCAAATCCCCTGGTACAATCGATTGGGTTGTCATAATTTTGGGATATGGAAGTGGAGTAATTGTTGGATTGGTTCTTGGGCAAGCTCTAACCAAAAGGAATCACAAGTGGTTTGTGAAGACTTTTGGAAGGCAGCAACAAAGAAGAAAAAGGGTAGTATAAAGAGCAAAGAAGCTGAACTTTCATAGTTTCCAAGATAGCATAAATTTCCTTAGAAGTGATATTATCAAAGAGTCTTTTATCCTTGAGGTTTCTCGGTTGATATCCGCAAGTTCTGGCTTTTAGTAATCTAGTTTCCCCATATATTTCTTTTGGTTTCCTTTTTTCTTTTTCTTTTTCTTTGTGGGTTATGCTTGTGTAGGCTTCCATATCCTGATCTTGGGATGTATTTGTTATATATCTATACTATGAGGTTTTCATGTAAACAAAATTTAGAATTGCAAGTGTTATGTTTTCAGGTTGCACATTTTCTAAACAAAGATGACTGAAAAATTAACAATTAAATACAACGAAATTCACTTATTAACCCCGCCCGTTGATCAAAATCTACGTTTTTATATAATCTAACGAATCTACGATCTATTGATCTCACAAATCACATCATCATAATTATCTTTTTCATTTAATATATATTATTGTCGTTTAATATTATATTTTTAAAATTAATTTTTTTCTTTTTATTAAACTTGTAAAGTTTATTTTTAAAAAGTGTCATAACCCGACTTTAGGGCCATGACTGGCACTAGGTTCCACCGACCCTAGTAAATCTTAACACAACAGACCATACCCAAAAGTATAACAACAAAATCATATTCCAAAACCAACTAAAACATATATAGACATCTCATACTATTCAAATACAACCTCAGAATCCTGTTTGAGTAGTAAATGAGCGCCAGAGTACAAATAAAGAAAACAAGAGATCGTGCCTGTACATCAATCAAACCTGCAAGATGATCACTCTGACTCTGGCAAGCTACCGAGAAGAATAACCCAAATCTGAAGAGTTTAAAAACTATGAGTCGCGAAACTCAGTGAGTACAGATGATACCTAATCTATACATGTTGGGATATGTATTACGCCACAAGTCCAAAACCATATATACACATATATACAGTGAGTAGTAATCAAAACACGTATATGAGGTATCAACATAACCAATCATCACATCACATCACATCACTAGTCTAGTATACTCTCCACACGTTACAGCAATATATCGTCTACCGAATGAGCCCTTAGCCACCCAACTCATCACATCGTCAGGCCAAAGTACTCCCTGCACGCTATGACCCACCGTCCGTTGGTTGAACCTGCCATCCTAGACACATCACATCACGTGACCCATGTCTCGTCTTCTCATTATTGGAGGGATCCACCGTCTCAACGATCGGAGAAATCATAATAACGCATATCACACCCACGGTCTCTGCTGCCTCACAAGGGACTCAGGCTGACTCACCACTAGACGCTACAGATTGCTATACTCCAACCGAGCTCCTTCTATCCCAAATCACATCACACGATACCATCCTCACATGTAGGTCAAAAATAGGTATACATACGCATATACAGTTCACATCTCAAAAACCAGTATTACATACTAACATAGTTCACTAACAGTTCACAAAACACATAACACTTATCCAAGTATAATGTATAATCAAAATATGGTTTCCAAGCCACATAATCATCATATCAGAAAATCACAGTATGAAAACACAGGCATAGAGAGGGTATCATCACTCACAGTACAAGGGCTAAACAAAAAGGAACTGCCGATCACCCTCACTCGACTCGTTGAGCTGGACGTGCCTCTACCGACGTTTCTGTAACCAAAATAATACAAAATCATCACCATCACCAAGACCAACACAAGAAATGAGCTCGACAGCCCAAAACCGGGCTCAAATCCCATTTCGACACTAGGGCACACATCTTGAGAAACACCACCCAACATCGAGACCAACACGACTCACTAACACCTACCAAGTTTACTCAACAACCCTCGAACAAAAGTGAATCAGCCTCCTCATGTCATACCCCAACCTCTCAAACTTAAGAGGCATGATAGTGGGGCAATAACCAACACACCGTCGGGTAAAATCCGGCAGCATACCGGCTATTGTAACCCCTCTAAAAAAAATGGTCTTAAGGCCCTATGTCTGAGTACCTGTTTAAAATAACAACTTCGCATAATACATATATCGTGCAATAATTCATCCAATACATAGCTTAAGCATAAATCAACTCTATATCACATGTCTAAATATCGTCTAACAATATGTTATGCTCAAAATCACTGTGTAATGCTAAATTAACTAGAATCATCCACAATGTCTCAAATCAATACAACTCGTTACAATTATCCAAAAAAATAAATTAATCTCCCAACATACATAGCTCATATTCACAAAACAAAAACCAAATAATCTCCAATAGCTTGGCCCGACCTGGTGCTATAAAGTGCAAAACACAAGTGATACAAACACCAAGCTACTAACTCAATATCTCAGCATTTGCAGGGGGTAAAAATTTAGTGGATGAGACTAACGTCCCAGTGAATGGAAATCAAACTAATCCCAATGGAAATAGTCAGTTTTTGTAGCTAATTAATCAATATAAACAAATTCATAAGAATTTATATCAAGAGGCATCGCAATAAATTTTTTAACAGTATAAAAGCTAAATTATCATTTTGCCAAGTCATAAAACATAAGAGGCATAAGAATGAATCATAAAAGTTTTCATAAACATCATAGAAACATCATAAGAGTTGTATTTCATATTCACATGTACTCTGGTCAGATGTGCACAACCGAAGGTGTCTGGGGGTAGTAAAATCGTAAACATAACATGGGCGCTCATTGGGCAAAACATAAATATGTCGGACGTTACTACACAGTGTGACTTGCGCTAGGGGTCGCCACTCCCCAGCCAAGCTAACACAGTCTTTGGCGCATAGTCCCTTTTCATTAGGGACAATAATATACATATGTGATGTAATGCAAGTAGAAACCGTCACCTGTCCCAGATGGCTGCCCGACATCATGTCTGGATGCTAAGGCACCAAAATAACATAAATTCATGAAAACCATGCAATTAAGTGTATACTTAAAATCATAACATAGCTAGACTGTTTCCATGTTCTCAGTAGTAATATATATTGAGTTTGAAATGAGCATTGTTCATTGTAAATCATAAATTGCGGAAATAAACTAAGATTAGGAAGATTCTCACTCACCTTACAAAAAGAGGCTATAAGGGTGCTCCTAAAGCTGTAAGTTCAGGGTCTGTAGTAGCTCGGGTATCCTCTCCTATAAAAGGGATATACAACATGAGATAAAACACCCTAAAAACACCATACGAAAACAATAACTATACCTTACAACGTATAAATACAATTTTTCCTCCATCTCTAACATTTGGGTCTCATCCAAACATGCCCTTAATTTCTTTCTAACCTTTGGATTTTATCCAAACATGCCCTTAATTTCTCTCTAACCTTTGGATTATATCCAAACATGCCTTTAATCTCTCTCTAACCCTTGGGTTCCATCCAAACATGTTTTTATCCTGTTTTTCCCCATTTCAACTCCAACCAAACATGCCCTTATTTCATTTCAATATCATCACCCATTTCTCTCACATTTCAACCATAATCACTTCATTCAAGATTTAATCCAACCATAAAAACATAAATATCTTCAAATAAAACAATATCTAAGGTTACTTAACAAGAAATAGCAAGATTCAAGCAAAATATCCCAGGGTGAGGGTAAACCCACTTTCTCTCTCTACAATACATATTATAATAACATCCAAATACAAAATCTATACCGATTAAAAGCTATAAAATGGAGAGAGGAATCTAAACATGTAGAAATATTGAAGAAAAATCAAAAGGGTTTGAGAATGGAGCATTTTACATACATTTTTTGCCTCTTTTCTCCTTTTTCTCTCCTTCCCTCTCTTCTCCTCTCTATTTGGGCGAAAATGAGCCCTAAAGGCTCCTCCAACTCTTAAAACACTCACTTAAACCCAAAAAAACCATAATGCCTTTCATTAAAATTACCCTCAAAATTAATCATAATTAATTTTTGGATAAAATTTGGGTACCCTAGGATATCTCCCAAATCTTTGTTTTATGGTGTTTAGGAGTTTAAGAGAGTTTAGAGGTCCTTGGAGGGGTTAAAATACCAAATTTTCATGAAAAATGCCAAAAAACCACGTCTGGCGCACTGCAGCGCGGTTTAGCGCGCTGCAGCGGCCAAATTCCAGTGGCCGCCGCGCTGTAGCGCCGAGGAGCGTTATAGTGCGGTAAAACCAGCAAGCACCGCTACAGCGCGCTGCTACAGTAACCCGAATAAAAAATAATAATAATAATTTTTTTTTTTTTTTTTTACCAAAACTTTACTTCTTTCAAAACTTCCAAAACACTTCCTTCCATCCCAAATACCTCAAAATTCCCCCTAAATAAAATTAAAACTCCATCCAAAGTGATTTTAAGAATTTTTCTTCTTTTCTTTTTCTTTTTCTTGAAGTTATTTTAGGTGTTACACCTCAACTCTCAAACCATAGTGAACCGGTCTCCAAAGCTCCCAAACTGACCTTAACTGGTCTAAACCACCTCAAGCTCAACTAATTGACTACAAAACCCTCAAAATCGAATTTAAAAGGCCAAAAAATCCTAGGAACTAGTCTAACCTTGCCAAGAAGGCCTTGAATCAACCTTGAACCGGCCAAAACCCTAACCTTAAGCACTAGTACACGAACCGAGCCCGGTTCACCTTGAACCGGACATCCAAAAATTACCAAACTATACGGGTATCTAGGTCTCATCATGCTAAACCAAGAATCGGTTTAATCTCCCCAAAACAACTCTAAAAACTAGTGAACCGGTCGCCCAAAAAGCACTACACTAAAAGTCATTTCACCTTGAACCAGCCTCCCAAAATTTTCCAAAACTATCCGCTCTGAAAGCCCTCAACCCAATAGACCACGAACCGGTCCACTTGCCCAGAAAACTGGCAGAAATAGCCTTGAACCGGCTAGTCAAACCCTCAGTTAACCCTGGCCGGTTCACCTTCCAAATCCTTAATCCAAAATTTCCCATTTATTTAATCCCCCTATTATCCCCCAATCAATCCTTATCCAAGCTTAGTTTATTCCCGAGATAACATATCCCTATTTAACCATTGGATTGACTCACTGGTCAACCTAGTTGATTACACAATGGGCTGAGTCAACCTGCGAGTTGACTTAGCCCAAACCGGCATAGCGAGCCAGCCCACAGGTTGCGGCCCAGCTTAGCTGGATCTGAGCCTAAACAGGGGCGGCCCAACCTGCACAAACCCGGTTCCATCCGGGTTCGTCGTCTCTACCCAGTTCCGAACCTAGAACCTGCACACAGGTCTACAACGCAACCTGGAAAACCGAAACTCAAAGATTGGCTAGAAATCAATCTTACCTCGATCGATGGTGAAC